ATTAAGTTCAACAAAGGATGATGGGAGTTATTGTTGCTATTTTTCCCACGTTAAAACAGTCCTCATAAGCCGGGTTTTTTTCTGCAGAAATAGACGCATATTATTGACGACTTAATAATCAGAAAATCTGTGCTATCGTGATTTCTTCTCCAGTCGTCTTAGTTTCTCTCGTTTGTTTTTGTTATTGTGTTTCTTCCATGGCTTGTAAACCATTCCCTCCGATGTCTCATCCACTGGTTGCCCTGGTAACATCACTGGTGTCCCCTTAACAAAATGACGAACTTCTTTCTGTTTCAAAATGAAAATTTACTATTATTATTATATTTCAACTTTCATATYATTTTACAACGTTTCTTCAAAAMCTGCGGATATGCATAACGTATCTTGGCAATTTTGACACCTACATACTGGTATCTTTACAAATGTTTTATCACTTATCGACGGCTGTGCAAAGATTTCACAATCTCACAAATTTGTGAAAGGTCGTGAAATACTATTGTGGATTGAATMCACATTAAAACATTAAAACATTTCTTGATAGTGTTAACAGTATCCCAAAGTCCTACATTGTCTAACTAAGAATCTTACCTTTGCGAAAAACTCGGCGTCGACGGAACTTATTGCTGTCTGAAAGAGACAGAAATAAAAAAAATATAAATAAATATAATATGAGAAACCTTTTATATACTATAARCGGCCCTTCAGGCCTCTCCTTCCAATATAAACAGGAGATACAGGAGCACAAAAGAAGCACGCTTAGAAAGACGAGCGTGCGTGAAGGGTGATTTTCTTTCTCCTAAAACGCTATCTTYCATACGATGCTTCCATTGTGTTTATACAGTCATTTGCAAAGATTTTAACAGCCAACTAAACATCAATCAAACTGCTTGTCAATTAATGTACTTAGCCAAATAAACCTAGCATTCCCAGGCTTCAGTTGTTTGAGAAATTAAACATGACTGGATCACAACAAAGATATAGTGAAAAGACTAAAATAAACAGCAATTTACCTTRTTCCCTTTATGCTTTTCTGCCTCAATCCGCCGTTTTTCTAAARCCTCCTCGATATTCTCAAATCTTCCAGTAGCAAAGCGGCCACTTTGAAACTCAACAGAATTGACACCAGGGGGAGGTGAGCAGTAAAGTATTTTGCCCTAAACAAATAATCAAGATATAGAAATTGCAAATGTCAGTGTTTCAAGTMAAGTGTCATTCTCTTACCCAGACCCTCTTGAGGTTCCTAACGGAAATCCAAGGCTCTGGTTGTGGAAAAGCAGGAATTCCCAGAATCTGGGTCGTACGATTCATGCATACTAATGGCACATGGAAATTTTTGAGCCAATCAAATCAAAGACTTATTCGTTTCCAACATGCAGAGTTTTCAATTTTCCGTTGGGAAAGTGAGAATGATCTGGGTACGAGAATGGTCATTAATGCTATATTCTATGTAGTTGGTTTGAGTGGACTGGACTGTTACTTGCAGTGCAGCGCGACGATACAACACAAGGATAATAAAAACCTGCAGTTACTTGCTTGTGGCTCTGTTTATGCGCTCGTGAAAACAGTTCCATAGCTTTTTCTTCTCTTGATCTCGTTTAATCTCATCGACATATTCACTTCGCGTTAACAATCAAATGAAATACCTTGACGTAGTCTTTTAGTATATATCTAGACGAACGAGGACCATCGGGAGTACCATGTGATGTCATGAAACCGCGCATATCTAAAAGACATCCATCATTGTTAATTCAGTCCCTGTTCATCARTGGCGGTCAGCGGTGTTATATTGTGAATAATACTTTTATAAGTAGTACACAAGTAGAACGCAGCTCACTTTTTYGTGTCACCGTAGTACAAGATACTTTTTACGCAGCGCACAACTRACACTTTCCGAGACTATGTTAACGATTAAATTGAACGTTATATGAATCTTTAAAAACATTTGTTTGTACTTACACCCATAAGCATCTAGTAATTCATGGGCAAAGGGAGCCCGGTCAGGATCGTCACCTTCTTYTGGTTTCGCTATGTTGATTCCATAAACAAGCTCCAGAACCTCACGCGGTATCCGCTGACATACGTTACATTGTTAAGGAAAAGCGCATAAGTCAGTCCCAGTTCGCTCTCGARCATTTTGTCTAATGAGCTAATAATGAGCTAATAAGATTGGTGGTCTTCTACCATGTGACATCTTATCAATCCTTACTAGCGTCCATTCTAGTATAGGATGATTAGACGAGTGCTCTAGTACACGTGATTTCTTTTTCATTCTATGGCTTTTAGTAACGAACAAAGTATTTTTAAAAACGCCGCATGTACGCGCAACTCGTAGCAGTGCCTCTTTGTCAGCTACAGTCAAATTAGCCTGATTTTCAGATGGGCCTGGTTCCTCACCGTTTGGAGAGAGAAAACGTTAGCGTCGGAACCAGGCCGGCGGTTTGAAAATCAGGCTATATTCAAATATTCTAAGATTTAAAATCCATACATTTCTGTGAAACCATAGAGTAATAGAGGAATATTAGTCCATGATATGTGAAGGATATCAAAGTAACGGGCGGTAGGTGGTCTCTCATTTGATCTATTGGTAAAATACCACTAACAACCATTTCAGCCTTTGTTGAAACAAATGATAGGAATACAAGACCTGGACAGTCACACAGACATACATCMTTGTCCAGGTGTAAAGTCTGAAAAAAAATCAATAAATCAATAAAAATATTAACAAATTACAGTCAAAAGACATGAAGCGCCTCCCCCCCGGAAAAGTTCGTTATTCAATGCATTATTGGATTTTTCATTTTATTTTTCGTTTTCAAACTTCAGTTGATAAAAGAAAATTAAATTCAAGTTTCGAACTCTGACAATGACAGAAAACAACACAGCATTTCCAGCTTTTTGGGACCGTCATTCCTTTCTAACGAGAAGGAACAGATCCAACCAAATTAACAGACAACATATTGCAATGCATTGACTTGTGGAAATTACAAAAGACCACCATGTTTACAAGCGAAATACAAAGAAGGCTTTATGAAAATCCGATCAATAATCCAATCAAATTTCGAAGTTTGAATTCAAATTTGACATAATGTAATGTTGAATCGACCAAGAATCAAATAATGAATTGAATAATGGTGTTTTGAGGGGGCGCGCTTCATGTCTTTTGACTCTAAGAACGGCCATCGTACACGCTCCATGCTCTGCTCAGTATATAGGGTTTATATGACAAAAAGTTGTTGCTGGATGTGTACGACTATGTGTCGAAAGTTCAAACTGAAACCAGAACTTGATACTAAGGATACTGATTACCTGGAAATGCTTGGTTTTTCCTGGAGTTGAGGAAACCGATACTTTCTTGTGCTGTAGAATCGCGTTAATAGTAGAACTTTTCCCAACATTAGGATATCCAACCTGTTGCCATTTAAACGAAAATAATGTTAAATAAACATCATAGTTGGTTCTAGAGGTGGGAACAGAGGATTATAGGTTTGATGCGTTTACTTTTCTTTCATTATAAGAGTTATTCAGAGAAACGTCCATTAATCATATCCATGTAAGATGCACAAAAAATGTTTTTTTACTAGAATATTTTCACAAGACTGCGAAATGTTACTTAAAGTTAGTTACATGTTAACAGAATTCTATAGTKTACTATGGAAACTATTACACATTAAGCGAGAAATCGTAAGTGTTAGTCTAATGGAAATAAATCTATGCGGCAAACTGTAAGCAAACTATTTCCCTAATACAGTGAATACACTGTCAGCTGTCATACTCACCATTCCAATAGTTGTGTGTGTTGAGTCATTTCTATGGTGGAGATTTTGACATAATCTTATCAGTTCGTCACTACTTAATAATTTCCCTGAGAATTCTAAATTGCTGTGGTTATTTTCGTTGACCAATAAAGATTCATGTTCGTTTTCGTCAGTTCTTAGTTTTTCTTTAACCATGTCGGCTTGTTTGTTTTCGGTWACATTTTCACTGTTACTAGCAGTAATATTACTCGAATCTGTTGGTATGCTTTCACCTATTTCTTGACTTCCCTCCACGYTGTGGGGYTTKAGTATTTCTTGGKTTTTTGCTGTGTTAGCATTGAGTTGTTTCTCTTCTGTKGAGAGTTCAGCAAAGCGAGAAGTAATAAGCGAGCTGTCTTCTTCATTAAGTTCATYGGTATCATCGTCGTCATCAACACTAGGTTCTTTTTCAWCMGAGACCTCTTCATCGCCATCTTTACTTTCCTTGAAATACAAATATCAATATTAATAAACTGCCTAGAGCTTTTTCCTAGAAATATTGTTTACAGTCAATAATACTTTGAGAAGCATTCATTGATGGTGGCATACGATTCATTTTTTCATGAAAATGTATGAGAGCTTTAAACGAAATTGAAAGTTCTTRATCACTCCCAACCTTGGCACATTGCTGCACTTAAACTGAATACATACATACCAAGGGCAACAACAGAAATAAGAGATGGAATTTGARTGGCCAGCTATTTCACGGYATTATTCATATTATTTTGCTTCACATACCTTTTGAAGCCTTTCTGTCTCATCAAGTGCTGACCAGAATGCAACTGCTATTCCTTCATCTTTGAAATATTCAGCCCATGTGGATCTGAAAAAAACAACAGTGATAGATTGACAATCATTGTCCTTACAAGAATAACTGCCCTAAACAACCTGCATAAGAATTSAAAATGGTCATGATTCTTTGGATTGAGTAGAGATGTCAATTCTACTAGGCTCATTACTATTGAAACAGGTAAAGTACAAATTTAGCTCATACGGAAACACACTTGTCTTACACTACATAATACATGGATAGTGCTCTCCACAAGATAATATTTTTTATTGATATATTTTAATAAATATTTTACAAACACCATAAATTACAGACATATTACACTTAGTTACATTATACATTTACAATTTAGGAGAAGAACACCATAGGTGATCTCCTCTAGATTCTATTAACATACAATAGAAAATAGACTAATTGAAACAAAACAATAACAAAACAAAGGTACATGAGAGATGGCTATATAGGCTATGTCTTAGATAATTTTGCTGTTTGAAATTAATTAGACAGAGCACGTATAATTTTCTCCCATTTCTCATTGTGTGTATACATTTTGTTTCTGCTTGTAGCGACTTTTCTTTCAATTAATTCATATTGTTTTAGTAGATTTTTAAAACTATTTAGTGTTGGTGGTTTTTGCTTTACTCTTTGCTTGTATAAAAAAAATTTGTATAGTAAAATAATAAAGTTTACACTGATTTCGTCAACTCCCAATATTATATTCTTAATGTTTGAAGCTGGTAACCATCTCCACAAGATAATAATCCTTATCCAACAAAAGACATTCATAGAATTCTACAACTACAATAACTAATATTGTGTTCTGTGCCATGTATTGAGGAACATTTCACAAAAAATATGATAAAAACTGATTCCTCCAGACTAGAGATTCACTCTGATATTTTAATTTATAGTTTTTTTTGCATGATAAAGTACCTTTGAAAAGGAGTGAGATAATCAGCTTTGTTGATTAGCAACAAATTTTCTTTTTTAGGATCAACTTCTTTGACATACGCTTCCTAAAGAAAAATTAATACAATTGTACAATCATCAAATAATAATTACCACCACAACCATAACTACAATATAATATCACTGTAGTTACTAGTCACTCAATAAAATTACACTGGAATCTATGGAGTCATGGAGTGGGTCAAAAGGAGGCCAATACTGGAGTATAGGTAAATAATTTGTTTACATTTCGCTTCATTAACATATCATTAGCATAACCATATAACGTTAACCTAACTATCAGTAAATCAGCACTGAATATTGAAACAACATGGCACAATTAAAGCTTTCCACGCAATTTTGAGCTTTTCATATAAAATACTTTTTGCGTAAACAGTTTTAAAAACTCCAATTTTTAGAGAGATTATATGAGCTAATTAGCGCTTTTGCCACTCAGCATCTTTGAACGCTAATATCTCATAAACTATTTCGTGTAATAACCTCAAACTTTCATAGTTAATAGTTCTTAATAAGCCCTTTTACATTATAAACTTATTTTACCAGTGTTTTCTTTAATTTAAACTTTATGCTAATTAGCAAAATTTTGTAAACAAAGATCCGCCTATAGCTTCCTGACTTACCAAGTCTTCACATCTAAAAAGCAAAGGATCCCTTGCATCTACAATTTGAACCACTACATCACTGAAACAAAGGCATGTAAAACACATTGAATACTCTCTGGTAAAAGGATTTCCCCAAAAACCTGATATTTTACTTAGAAAAGACAATTCGGTCTTGCTCCATTGTTGAGAACCTTGATTTCCATGCTCACATTGAAACAAGTGTTTTTCTCAATCAAATGGGTGCCATTGGTGAGAAGCATTTTTAGATTTACTTTAATTGATTGTGCTATAAATGCTTGTCTTTTTTAACAATATTTGTAGTCATATCTTACAACATACATTAATATTATTTTTTGGCACTTGGAATTTCAAGCCAAAATCCAAAAACCTGCAGCCATCAAAGGATTAAAATGCAGATAAATCCTGACTGCAAATTGCTTTAATTACCAGCATTGCTTGTACTTAACAGAACATRTGCAATATTATGTCTACATGTATGGTGAACAAAAAAATCACTACCTTCTTTCTATCACCCGCCAAAGTTGCCTCCAAAACTCAATATTTTTCTCAAAGGGTGTGAGAATAATGTGGTCTTCTTCTTGCAAGCTAAGTGAGTGTAAAAGTGATGTAATAATTTTAAAAAATAACACAACACTTTTAAATTTCAAAGACATGTTTCTACCTTCATAAAGCCATCTTCAGTTTGAATGTGATTACATTTTACAATCAGTTATATAGTAGTAAAAGATAATATGATTAAATTACAACGGTCAAAAGTAAACTAAAAAATAAAAAATAAAAAATAAAAATTCTTGCAAGCTATGATACACATATTTCAAATTGAATACTAATTTGAGATAAAATGTGTTCTTTTGTTTTAGGTATACTTTCATGTACTGAGATATCATATTGTGTCACTATTCACAGTCACTGCTTGAAGGGCAGTTTAGCACAAATTTGCCAAACTCAATTGTCAGACTCATTCATTCATAAAATCAAACATTTTTTTGAATCACTGTCAATTTATTTATAGCCCTGAGRATTGACAGGAGGTACAAAAGCTTGGGATCCAAATCATAATTAATATAGCTGAACTTGTTTTATTGAGTATTAGCTTATACTTGATGGCAGCCATGTGAAAGCATAAATCACAGGTAGCCCAAGCAGGACTTACATGCTTTGAGATTCAATGTTATATGGAGACATCCAATTATTTTTGAGTTACTCAATAAAACTGGCTCAATCAAATACAGTTAATAGCTTAAGATGTTCCCTTTTGTTCTGCAGACCAGTAGTAGTAACTGGTAGTCTACTTTTAGTTATAATAACCTACCTGGCTAACTGTCTTCTCCATTCTATAAAAGTATCCCTCTCCTTCAGATCAAGCTCTTGCGCTGACATCTTGGTTGTCCAGGGAGGTCTGAAAAATTTACATTAAATTACAATCTCAACATGTAAATACGGTGACATTTTTAGTTGATAACTCTCCAATTATAATAATCTCACAAGAAAGTGAATGGGGTCAATTGGCATGGGCAACAGTTGACCTGATTCACTGCACACTATACATCCATTCCATGCACCTTATACTTTCTACTACTACATTGTGTTATGCTCTTTCTTGTTTTTTTCCACCTTAMATCGTATAAAATACTAAAGAAATTAAACCAACATCCATGATTCTTTCATTTACAGGGAAAAACATCACCGGGGACTGATCAACAGATAATTTACAGTCAAAGACTGGTCAAGACTATGATATTTGCTTTATTGATTTTGCTCACCTTCTAGGAATTCTTAGTGACGCTTTATTCTTTTCCTGTGCTTGTTTTATATTTGATACTTGTTCTGCTGTCAAAATTCCTTCATTGCGGCTTGCAGTTACAACTGTCACATTTAGTTTTTCTAGAATTAAAGAAATAACATTTTAACTTATTACTACTTTGACCATACAGAATGTACATAGCTATCATATTATTTCACTTATTATAAATAGTACTTAAATTTGTATTTAGTTACATATTTTAGCAAGCATTGAAAATTATCGTATCATACTTACCAGCTGTGAATTCAGTTCCTGCAAGTTGTGCTGTAGCCAAAAAGTCATCTAAAGCACTTTGCTCTGTGATAGAGCTGATGTTTAATCTTTGACTCCCAACTGCATCATTTAACTCACTTGTATGTCGCTGTATCAAAACAAAAGTTTCATCAACACAGACATCAAAAAGTTGATTGAAAGGACAAAGGCACAACACATCAATTTGAACACAAAGATTTGATATTGGAAAGAAAGATAGAATTACATGTAAGAAGTCAGTGTTGGGTCATGTAATCTCTCAAACTGTTCATCAGAATCAATAGCTGTTACAGTTATTTGTCTTTGAAAATGATGAATAAGAGTTTAAAGGTTAGATTTTTCTGGCTCATTAGCTACCACTATTACATTGTAATTCATCATAAAATATTATATCATTGCCAGATGATGGAGGTCAGTTCAACTGAGGATTACAGATGCAACAACCTACAGGACAGTGCTCAATCACTCATAATACTCCCAATTAGTCTCGAATGGAATATTTCAGCAGCATGGGAAGTGTCTTGTTTATATTGTTTAGCTGTTGATCAAACCACTCAGCCATTGAGTGGCTTAATTTGCTCAACTTGCAACTGACTTAARCGTTACAACTCAGCCCCATCAAAAAGTGTTTTACTTATGATAAATATTACTTGGGAGGAAACCATGTTTAAGCTGTATTTCCAGGGCTGGAGGCTGTGAAATATCAGTGAGAAAACATGGAATATAGTCCCATAAAGAAAAAGACCTTCTCTAAAAATCCGAAAAAGATGTAATACGCAATGTTTTTTTTGTGTACAGCACCATTTACATTAAGTTAAGTGCACAATAGTATCAATTATACAACAATAAGGTTTTTAAACGATTTGGGGCGCAATGAATCAAGGCTATTAATTTTTGCATCGTAATCATAGTGCCCAGCACGTGTTTTTTTCTTACCCAACTATCTCCATGCTTGGATCCACGGCCTCTTGCTTTTACAAGACTCTGACCTACTCCTGACTTGGTCTTTTTACCCATTTATTAATCCTTCATTCAGAACCGATAYAATAATTGCAAAGCAATTTATTTACATCGACGACCAGCCGAGGATTGATCGGCCATCTTGGAACATTTTATACCCAGACCCTCCTCTTTCAAGAATTCTTGAAAGGATCTGGGTAAGAGAAACATTCCAATGCATGACGGTACCAATGGAATGTATCCCGAAGTTTTCTGCATTGATTCCATGTGACTTCTGAAACTTAATGGATTTTCAGGTTATGGATGTAAAGTGGGTTTCCAGGGAATCTGAATCTGGTCAAATACTATGTTACAACAGTATCACTGGCGAGATAAGATGGCCGAATGTCGATAACAAGGTAACTAATAAGATTACAGTATATTGCAACTTGACTTTCAGCAACTCTGCAACAATGACGACAAGTTATTGTTTTCAAAGCAATTTTACCGGACCATTAGTTAACAAACTAATTATTTTAGGAAGTTCTTGACAGCATATGGAAATCTGTTTATCCCAAGTGACAGTGACAAGTGACAAGTGACAATGCAAAAATAATTGCCGGGACCGCGGCAAAGTAAAGGGCCGACAGAGGGGCTGCCAATAGTTTTTGACCCAGGCTTTTGTGCCAGTTTGCCTCCATTACGTAAAATATACTCGGTGGTCCCTGGACTGACCAATTTGGTGGGTTGCATGTGACGTCATACTCAAGCAAAAAATATCGAAAAATCCAAGAYATTTTTTCTAAAGAGCTCTTCTTACAGTATATCTTAAATATACGTCTAAATAGTGTGTATGCAAATTTTCATACGAATTCAACGCTTTGGTGGCGAAACACAAAAGTTTTAGTTTGTGCGGAGTTTAATTTATTCTACCGTAGATCGTAAATAAAAACTTCGAGATTAGATAAATCATTCTTTCAACTCCGTAAGAACTTACTTAAGGTGATTTTTCTTTGAAATAAAGTCATAATTGACCAAAATTTACAAAGGAAACCAGTTTTTAAAGTTAATTTGAAATCAGACGCCATCTTGGATGATCAAAGTTATCATCCAAGATGGCGTTCCCATACTTATTAACCAAATTTTTCAAATCTTTATTCGCTTATATCTTCATCGAAAAGTAAGCTACAGGACTAAAAGCTCGTATTCTAGATAATTTGACTATGCTCTTTATGACTTGCTACTTGGTTTTTGAAAATAACGAATAATAACGAATGATAAATTTTCAGTTCGGGGGTTGCAACCCAGGACCAACATTTTAAAGCTTCGTACAAAACCAAACTCTTAATACTCCTGTTTTCTGGCAATTTAAAACTGCTGCTTTATATGACACAGACTGTCTTCCACAAAGACCTGGCCAACCAAAACACCTTGATGATTATTGTACAGTTAAACACACTKTCTGACATTATTCAATCTTTGTAGGATGTTCAACTATCTATGGCCATTGATGACCATGAGCTAGCYAAGAAAGACTTTGAAAGGAACTGYCATGAACCGCAAGTCATTCACATCTCAAACAACAGCCTCTTGGTACATTCATCCTATGAAGAAGTACATGATGGGTTGAACARCACTGATCATTACAACAATAATAACAACACAGGGTCATCACTGAAAGAAAAACCCTCCAGTTTGAAGTACTTCAACTGTACCAAGTGTAGCATGGTGTTCACTGCTGCAGCTTTTCTAGCAAAACATATCAAAATAGACCATGACTCACAGTCAGAACAAACATGCATTCAACAGCCTAGTAAACTTGACCTTTGTGAACCAGTGAACAAGAAGCAAAGAAAAGAACAAAGCAGACATGATACAACTAGTGAACAACAGCCAGTTCAATGTGATGCCTGTAACAAGCTCTTTGTTGATGAAGCTGTTCTTGCATGTCATTTGAAAATGCATTYTCATTCAARAAAGAATAATCATAGTCAAAAAAGRAGGCATACTATCTCAAGTAATCCCACAGCATCCAAATACTGTGAAAGCACTCAACTAGAACATGGAAAACAGAAATTTGAGTGTGAGCAATGTAGACRACAGTTTTCAAGTATGAACTCATTATCACAACATCAACGAAGACATGCTGCAAAGACACCATTCAAGTGTTGTTATTGTAGTAAGGTGTTTGTATTTGCAGGYGACCTCACCAAACATGTCCGTTCACACACTGGTGAAAAGCCATTCCAGTGTAATGAATGTGACAAGAGGTTTTCATTGTCTGGTAATTTAAAGAARCACATGAGTRTTCACTCTGATGATAAACCATTTGAATGCCACCTTTGCAGTAAAAGCTTTAAACGGTCATCRCACTTGAAAAGTCACATCAAATCACATTCTGGAGAAAAGCCTTTCAAGTGTGAGTTGTGCAACAAGCASTTTACTCGAGAATCAGGGCTGGTAGCCCATAATAGACTACACCAGGRGGAGAAACTATTTCAATGTCARGAATGCTTTAAATGTTTCCATTTCAATAGTGACTTAGTGAAACATAAAAGATCCCACACAGGGGAAAGGCCATATGTATGCGATTACTGTCACAAGGGCTTTTCCCAACCAGGCCATTTAAAGGTTCATCATCGCTCACATACTGGAGATAAACCTTTCACATGTTCAATTTGCAAAAAGTCATTTGCTAGCGCACAATATCTGGCCAATCAYAGGCGTCTGCATAGTGGTGAGAAGCCATTTCAATGCAGTCAGTGTGATAAAAAGTTTGCTCAAAAAGGAAATCTATTAAATCATGAACGAATTCATTCTGACGCTCGACCTTATATATGCAGTGACTGTGGTTTTGGCTTCAAAGATCCAAGCAGTCTAGTCAAGCACAAGAAACTCCATAACAACATTCGGCCATATGTGTGCAAATTGTGCGAAAAAACGTTCACTCGTGGAAGTCATTTGAGAATTCATGAACAAAAGGTTCACAAGAAAATRAACACAGTCAGTGAAAGCAAACAAATTTTTGAATGATCACAGTCCATGCAGCCATGGATGACAGTAACTACATGTAGGCATAAATCAATATCATAAGTACTTTTTAACCCAAGGGCAGGTGGCTGCTGGAAGCTTTTTTGTACTTTCTAGTATCTTACTGGTCGTCCCAACTGATTAGGAATACATGTATTTCCAAATGAAATTAACTTTCTAACAAATTTCCTTACTGTTTATATGTGGGAAGCATCCCAGGAAATCYTTCGAACATTTCTATGAATAACTATTTGAATGCTCATTGATATTAATTATGTATTTTTGGAATTGGAAAGTTTCTCATACAACCTCATTCCCAGGCCCTTTATCCCTTTGCTTGCGGTCCCAAAGAGAAGGGATGAAGGGCCTGGRAATGAGRTTTCTCATAGAAAGCAATATATTTTGTATTCAATAAATTGAGCCAGTTGGTTTGAAATTAGCATGTGTTACATCTGGCATTTCTATCTAATTTAGAAATTCCAGATGTAACACAGGCTAGTTTGAAATGGGTTTCACAACATGTTTTGTACTAAAAACTTCTTTGTAAATAAAGGCGTTTTTATGTGTGGATCCAGCAAGTTACAAAAGGGGGACCTTGAAGTCCTGTGTACATCAGAATCTGTTGAAACTAGAAATTTCTGTTGTGAAGTCCTTTAATKTCAACTCTAATATAACAAAGCTGAACACAACATGAATATTGGATAATCAATGAATGTGAAGATTTTATTTAATTAGAGAAAATTCCTTCTTGTATGCCAAACTATTGCTTGAGCAAAGAAAAGAATTACTATACATGTAAATTTCCGAAACGTTTTCCAATCACAGAAGCATRTAAGCCATTTTTGACCATAAAAACGTCAATAAGCGTTTTTTGACCTGAAAAACGTTTGCCAAGAGCAAAATTATTTTAAACAAGGAAAGGCGCCACTTTGCTTGTGAGATTGTCAACAATGTATCTCAAATCCCTTTTCCAGGAAAAAGTTCGTACAAGAACAGTTATTTAGTAGAAGAGACCCCGTGGGCTCATCCTGCAATCAAGCGACACATATAACTTTCCAAAAGTACACAGTCCAAAAACACTGAACATATATTAAACATTGTTTGAGAAGGTTTGCGATGATACAATATCTTGTCTCTTTGGCCACGAAACATGACATCAAGTGCTGTAAGGCCTGAAGCAGGTCGAAGGGGTGGGTGATTAGGGAGGCTACCTAACTCTTTAGAAGTTGTGATATACATAATAGAAGAAATTATATCTGGAAGGCAATTGTTATGAAACACTGAAACAGTGTTTCCCCGAAAGAAATTTGATTTTCCATT